CAAATTTAGTGATTGAACAATAATTAAAATTGATAGAACGGCATTGTATTTATTATTTTTAATTTAGACAAGTGAATGGTGAAATGGAATTTATACTTACTCTAGTCATAGATATCATAAACTATGAAAAATTATTATAAATTATGTATTGTCATCTCAATGCAGTGAATCACTTTAAATATTTCGTCACCTAGTATCTCTACAGGATATTAAGCTTTTAATTCTGCATCACTTTAAAAATGGAAGCATCAATAAACATTATTTAATTGACGATAAAAACGACCACATTTTGGGGGGGGGGGGGGGGGGTCCAAAAGAAAACCTTTTGAAAAGGATAAAATATGAGGGCTAACTCATTATAACATCTAGAAAGGAGGCATGGAATAAAATTTACTTTGTTAAAACCAAAATCAGACACCACCCCCATTTTTAAATACGTGTCTGCTCTAGATCTTTACTACGAAAGTGATAGTACAAAAGGAAAAAAAAATAGTTAATGAAAAACAATCTCAACAAGCACTTGACGTTACACATAGGTCTACTACATATAACTTATTAGGCGAGGGGTTATATTTTTTTGTTATGTCACTAGTGCCTGTGGATGTTATATAATAGTTCTAAAAAAATAAATCTATTTTATTATAAAAAAAAAATAAAGAATATAGAGGTGTTAAAATAGGTTTTAATAAAAATAAAAGAAAAGGGAAAAATCACCAAGAAACCATGAATTTTTATTTGGTGCATTGGCGGGCGGGGTCTTCTTCATTTGAATCCTGCGTACAAAATAAACATGCTGTTTGGTGTCAGTTTTTAAAAGTGTAACATTTCATTGATAAAAATACTAATACTTCGATGGAATCATCGAATTACCATTCATTAAAGTTTTTAGATAGACTAGTGTTCTTGTTTTATTGCACAAAAATCAATCAACTGCATCAAAAAATAAAGAATTTAATCCGTAACTTTACCCGTTTACATCGTACTTGTAGACAGTGTATTACACGTTCTAAACTTGTAGCTACACCTCGGAGTTGACGTCATGACGTCGAAGAACACAACAATTGATGACGTCTCCCGTACAAGTTCGTCGCAAAACGTGTAACTAAACCTCTCCAATATCCAAGTATTGATTTACATTAGTTTTAGCTAGTAAAAGCATCTTAGCCAAATGGCTGTTTATATTGTTTGAAATTCATCTGCAACATCCATTAATATATATGTAATTTGGCACTATAATCTTTTTTGTCTTTGATTTCTAAGCATCTATAATGAGCAAAGACAAAAAAAATTGAAAAAGTCACACTCATTAAAAGAAGAATGCTCTATATTGTACCCTGATGTCAAAGTAATGACATTAAGCAGGTTAATACTGGAACACTGTAGGATCATGTCAAACTGGCAGGCTGTGAGGTTCCTCTTCGGTACTGGCATTAAATAGGTCAGTCTGGCATTCCCCAGGGTCAGTTTAAACAGAAGAGGTAGAAGTCCACAAGACACAGCAAGAGATAAGTCTGAAGGCCCATACTTCATTGTCAGGGAAAATATTGTCCATAACAGCAATTTCTTTGACTCCCCTTAAAAAAAATCACACACATTCACAAACTGTTGTTTAAACTAGCGCTTTTCATTTCAAAAATGAAGAGAAAATTTTACCTTGTTTAATGTTGACACATTTGTCAGTTTCTATCAGTGCTGCCACCAACAGTTCATAAATCTGATGGACAGTTAAAAGAATATCTTGCTGAACTTCTGTCTTTGCTGCACTTATTCCATCCTGCATGTATATATAAAAGTTATCCTTTCAAAATTACATGTACATGTGAATTATATTCATTGAAATAAATGAACAACTCAATAAAACTGGAATTTATCATACCTGATAATGATACAACTGGGAACCAAAGTTGAAACAACCCATCATCAGCTGTATATGGGCAGAACTAAGAAGAGTGGAGGGGGTAGGGCTTCTGTCCAGGTCTGACTTGGCAGTGTTTGTTGACAGTAGCTCTTTTATTTGATTTAATGCCCTCAAACGTGACTAAATAAAAGTACATCATCTTTTTCTTAACATTTACCAAATTGAACGTCGATTGAATACTTTATCAACTACATAAGCCTCCATCATTTTTTTTTAATTTTTAAAAATCTTTCATTTAGTACATGTATTTTAAAATCTCAACATCTGAAACTCACAAAAAAATCAGTTTGAGACATTACTCTACAAATTCATCTGGAGAAAGTCAATTTACCTCAGCCTTTTTCTGCTGATCATCTAACGCCAAGGCCATTTCCCTGGGTTCCACTTCCCAGCTGCTGGTGGACTCCTGACCCACGGAGGGGCTTCCTATCTTCTCCCCACACACAAACTTACACAGGTCGGAGGCTATCTGCTGTACAAAGCTTTTAATGCTGTGAGCTTTATGGTGACTGTGTGGTACTGTGGAACGCTCCTGTTGCCATCGGAGACGACGAAGCATTTCTTTCACTCTCTGAAGGGAAGCCACATTTGTATCTAAAAATAAAACAGAGAATGTTACTTTAAATCAGTTCAGATTTTGATTCTGATTATACAGTCTATTAAAGTACCATGAGGCTGAGACTTAATTCAACATCTATTTCATCAAGAAAAATATGTGGTGCTGCATTGTTAAGATTACCTCTTCTATTGTGATCTGGTGTAGAAGTACCATCTCTCATTTCTTCATTCTAAAACAAATTTTCAAATTTCAATTTCAAGACAAGCTGCTGCACATGTAATTTGGAACTAATTTGCATATACTATTTTAGAAACACACATGTATAAATAGTACAAATGTTCATAGGATTTACAGTTAAACAAAGCAAGTCTTAATGCCAGTAAATTTCTATGTTTGAGACAATCTGAGACATCCTTTACTTTTTTGCCTTGTGAGCCTTTCTGTTGTTCTAACACCAGCATGCTGGACGGAGATAAATCAGGGACACTTCCTCTTCTCTTCAGTCTAACATCAGGGGTCCCTGTGGCCTCAGATGCTTCACTACTAGATTCTATAACAACAGTATTACTGTATGTTTTTTAATCACAAACCTCAGCAAAGCTACAGTACAATCTCTTTGAAAATAAGCACATGGATTCATAATATATCATTATTGCTAGATTAAGTATATTTACTGTAACCACTTGTTAGCATTAACTAAATTAAAACTTCAGGATTTATATGTAATAAAGCATAAAAGAAAACTGACTATACCTATTGGTGACTCCTCTGTTTTCTTAATGTGCGAGAGAGATAGCGTTTCTACAACAAATACATTATGAATAAAAGAAAGGCTACAAGGTATATATAATTCATTGACAAGCACACTTCATATTTGAATTATTACAATTTACAAAGGAAGAAATGTACCTGAGACAGCCGGTCGAACTCCTAACAACAAAAATAAACATCTCTGTTGATACTTTCTACACTCTTCTTCAAAAGTTGTTTCCTTCAAAATCTGTGGTAAATCTTTAATTGTCCCTTCATCATCTATAGGCAAAGAATGTAATCAACCAATGAAAGTAGGATTTTCCTACATGATAAGTTAAAATGAAAGAATAATATTTATGACTAAGATACAACTTACAAAATAAATAACAGTATATCAAATTTATTTACAAAACAGATACGATCAAATTAGGTTAACGATCTGGAGGATATCTGTAGCTCTGTTGATTACCTGATATGACCACATCAGACATGGCTTCCTCCCTCTCATGGTCCTGGTCTGCAGACTTCTCCCCCTCCATCATCTCCTCTCTCTGGGGGGACTCTACAAACTCTGATGAGTCCTCCTTCTGGCCAGTCTCCTCTAGGGACTGTTGCCTGTGAGTGGACAGGGGACCCGGTTTTGCCTTGTGGTGCTGCATTAGGCAGCTTCTTACTCTGTATATGTACTGGAAGATGACCAGTAATGTTTTGGGGGGACTGAAATAAAAGTATATCAAATGACACTGCTATAACACCAGTCTATAAAAGAGAATTACTTTTCAATCATCTTGTATGATAATTCTCAAATTCTATTGTATTGTGACTTTATGGATGAATTTATACGACTGTTATTTCCCAAAAATTAACAGATACAAGTACATGTATTTATATTCTTGCAGGTACAACCACTATTCTGAAATCTGTATTGTGCACTTTTGGTGTAATTTCCTAACCTTTTTCGATGCAAGGCTACTTTGACTAGATTACAATGCTTCAACAGAGCACACAACAGACATCTGGTCATGGTGTCTAATTCCTCATCATTGTTTATTTCTGACGTGTCCCAGTCTGTCAAAGAAAATAATAAACATTTATGTACATGTATTCAAAATGATTACGTCATTATCGGGGTATCTCTGAACAAGAAATATGGAAACTCATGTGAATTATATACCCTCTCTAGATGCATAATCTTGCATGGTTTCCCAGAGGTTATCTGTAGCTTCTGACTTTAATCCACAACAGAACTCCAACAAGAGCACATCATCTGCATTCAGATTCATATCATCCAGCCCTACCAAATGATGCTTACTGATGCTATCTAAAACCAAATGAATGGACTCCTCTGCAAAAAAAAATAACAGTTTGATTACTTTATGCAGGAAAACAATTTTAAGAATTTAAAATATTTTTAGCCCTGTCTGATGCAATAACATTAATTGAAGGTATCAATATGTAGTTTTCATGTATGGTCAAATGGCAGATTACGACTTTAAAATAACTTTTCATTTTGAACCACAGTCATTTGCTCTAAGTCATTGTCACAGTACTTGAAAGAAAAAAGTGTCTACTCCAAAAAAAAACTTTAAAATTACTTAGTGCCTCAAGTTTTTGATCCTAGTAATATTAACAGTCAAGGTGAGAGGAATAAAAAGTGTCACCATTACAACTGGTCCAATTTTTTTTCTGCAAATTACTAAAGTATTATACTAAAGTATTTGTAAGAGATGCTTTATTTGACTAAAGGAAATTTCATAACCCTTTCAAGGTCATCTGAATGCCACAAAGATAAATTTATAAGAGGTTAAATTCTGAACAAGCATTAAATCTTTACCTGTTTTCTTTGAGGTGAATTCAGCCCCATTTCCAAACACTGGGTTTTCCAGCCAAGGGAGACAATTTTGCTCCTGTTTAGACATTTGATCTCCAACAAGCATCCCACCAAGGCACTGACCAATCAGAGTAGCACAGGTTCTCTCCTGGTTTGATGCACAAAATGAAAAAAAAAACCAGAAGTCTCTGTCGAGACTGTAGCTCTACTGGTTTGATTGAACAGGCAGAAATGAGGTGGGAGGTATTTATATGTCCGAGATTTTGAGATTAAAATTTAATTATCAGTTTTCTATGCAAATCAGTGGATCATATGCCAATACAGGTACCTTGTAGTAGACATTAATGATTGAGTTGTCTGTCTGATATAAGATGGAAAGATTCTACAGTCATTACGATAACCCCCATGAACCCATTTGGCACATCTCAGCCAATTTGTAGCTCATCTAATCTCACTTGATGAAGATAACAGAATCAGCCGAGGTTTGCCAAATGCTCCATGAACAATTGAACCATTTAACTCAATTCATAATTTATAGCATTTTTTCTCCTTTGGACACTTTGTAAATACAAGCTTGCAATGAGAGAAGACATAAGACAAAATGAATGTTGTTTAATTTATATATTCTGAACTTAGGTACTAGAAATGGTAATAAAAAAATCAGTTTTGTAATAATTATAAGCATATAAAGAATACACTGTTAGACATTAGCTTTGATACTGATAGTCATGAACAAAACTTGTATAATATTTAGTGACAAAACAGCTTGGAAGTATGAATACATTAAAATCTTCAACTGTTAATAATATATACACAGGTAATAAGTAACATCTGATACTATTGATTGTATTCTACTACAATATGAAAAGTGTGTTTAAATCCTGTAAATTACACGAAGCAGGACAGATCATAATTTGAAGTATATGCTATTATATATATTCACTCTTCTTTGACATACAAATCCATGTTCAAATTCTACATATTTAAGTATTTTGTGCTTAAAATATATTATACGTCAATCATGTTTTACATTCAATTAGTATATACTTGATAAGTAGTGTATGGAACATTATGAAGAGGGATGGTTTACCTCCCTTTACGGGCTGGCCAGTGACCTCCCTCTTCCCATTATACTCACCTCTCAATATTTATTTCATCATCATAGTATATACTTGATGAATAATACTTGACTCTTATTAAAGGTGGATGGTTTACCTCCCTTGCATAAAGGGCATGTTATGCGATATCCTTCTTTTCATAACACTCACATGTCTATAAACATGTTATTAAACTCTCTTTTTTTAATTCTATATACACTTATCATAATATATGGTAATGTGGTGCAAAGAAGTGTAAAATGAAATCCATTAAAATGATTGTTTGCGAAATCAAAACACAATCTGTCCTGATGGAAAATTCTGTATTGATTTTAAAAATCAAGAAAAAAAGCATATCAAGTATAAAATACTTATACTTGCATTTAACTAAGTACAATATAAAATCAAATCATGTAACATATTCAATATGTCTTTTTAAAATATCTGTGCAATATCTTGCAGCAGTGTTTGTCCATGAATTGGCTACCAAATTAGATTCTGTTACACAAAATATTTCAGATATATATATCAAATCTACATAGCATTGCTTTAAGCATTAACCTTGAAACGTTTTACATTATACATTTATTTTCTAATAGTTAAAGAGTGTGATATAAAATAATCTAGAAGATTAACTTAGTGAGGGATATATATGTGTATCCCACAAAATGCGTTTTTGATACTGTCATATAATTTCAATGACTATGAACATTACATAATAATCAATTCAAACTTTAGTCAACTTTATCATATTGCAATAGTAATTGTTAAGTGTACATCAGTGAATGGATACAAACATTTATATGTACTCTTATATAGATGCATTGAATATTGTCTCAGTATTGTCTGGATTATACATCATATACACAAGCTTTCGTATTTATAAGATATTGATATAATAAATATGTTATTAGAAATAAAGCAAATTATTTGGAGCAGAAATTATTACAGTTGTATCTATATTTCTGCTAGCAGCTAGTATGTAAAATAAAAACCCAGTACATTTCCAGAAATCTATGAAATTATTTTAATATATTGACAATTCACTATATCCGTAGAAGGAATTCGTTTATTTAATATATAACTGAGCATTTAAGATAACTTCACTATATCTGTGATTTTACAATACCAGTATTCCTTGTTCATACTAAACAAGTTTTACTGTATAATATAACAATTTTTACCAATGAAAATAACATTGAGACAACATCCATCTCCAAAAAAGCTCATTAATAAATAAAGTAAAAATCAGATAAAAACAAAACAAACTGCATAACCTTTTCAGAAAGGTTCACTAGTACTTGTAAAAATATTTACAAGCAAATGAACAACTCTGTTATTATGGGTATGATAGAGGCATTAATATAAAAATGAAATTAGCAAGTACAGTAATTATTTTTTGGAGCTTATATCACGTAAGAAAACAAATATCACTTAATGTGTATCCCTCAGCACAATTAATTTAAAAATTATACAAACATATAAAAAGTCTCTCTCATTTATTAAACATAATGGCTTTCTTAGTTCCATTAAAAGTAATAAGTATGGCATGCATATAGTTGATTCATATATATTATATAAATGTAAAGCAAAGAGTTTCATGCACTTGTAGACACTCAAATTAAATTTGACATAAGTCATATCATGTATTCACAAACATCGTAAAAAGAACAGATAATCGAAGAGAATTCTTTTTCAATAATAATCTTGAAGATGTAATATTTATACATGTAATTAAAATATAAATGAAACTGCATCTGGGGAAACAAAATTTCAGTGGGAAATTAATACTGAGGGATATACACTTTAAGTGAACAGCACCTTATGAGAATGACTTCCAAAACCACCTGCATCACCAACTTGGTGATGGTACACTCGGTGGTGTACAAACGCACACAGCGAGTCAGGTGGTGGCGCCTGCCCTGCTTCACACACTGGTGAAGGTACACTCGCTGGTGTACAAACGCACACAGCGAGTCAGACATAGCTATGTTACCCCTGTCAGGTATAGGCAAACTTCACTGAAGAGGCATTGGCTTCAATTCATTAATGAAAAAATAAAATGAACTCTTTCTTTCCTCAATTGTTCCTCAATAGTTCCTTTAAATATCTCTAGCTAAAGATGTATATATTACTTTGTGGTCAGAATAAACACTTTCTATGACATCAGTGATAATATGACATGTCACATTTGTGTAAATATGGTCTATCAATGATCCAGAAGAATGGGTTGACTTTGACACAATCTGATTACAACTGAAAGCTGCAGACATGTATGTAGCCACTGAAGAGCCTCCATGAGATAGATCTATATTGAAATCCCCAATAATGACTATATTCTGCTGATTCTTAACTACTTTGGACAATTTGTTCATAAAGTTGTTTTTTGCTCTTTCAACAGTAGATCCAGGACTTCTATATAGCACAACAACTTGATAATTCTCATTTTTAAACTTTACTTCACTGTACTGCCATTCCAAGTCTTTGTCTGAGTGGCTCACATGATTAATGATTTGACAGTCATTTCTAATGTATGTAATAATGCCTCTATGGGGTCTGGCACATTGCTGATTTAATGCAAAATCCAACCTGAACATGCTGTAATTCTCCAATTCATAATCTTCATTTTCATCTGATGCTGTCAACCAAGTTTCAGCTACTCCTATGATATGACACCGTTGAAGATTTGGCTCATTTTTGAAACTTGCAAAATGGGCATGCAGTGATCTTACATTCTGAAATGCAATGTTTATGGTCTGGTTGTTTGTTGAATCTATCGGCTGAAAACATAATTGTAATGTTGCTTCTGTCCGTAGTCTACACATTTCTTTTTTCACCTTCTCAGATGCACACATTTTGTTTTCATTTAAACTCAAGATATGAAGTCCTGTAATCTTCGTAACCCTGCTTAGTGCAACATAGTGAATGTGTGGCAATGAAAATTTTGGATTCATATCGAGATTGATAACAGCTTGATCCATTGTGTCCCCCTGAGATTTGTGTACAGTCTTGGCTGCAGAAAGTCGCAATGGAAATTGTATACGAACAACAGTGTGTCGCAGGTACTGAAAGCTCCTTCTCACATCAAATATTGGTGTCCAAGACTTATCTACTTCATGCCCAAAGAGATGTCTATACTGATATCTCCATGATTTTGCAGTATTTCTGTCATCAAAAGAAACCCATATTATACTTGGTCTTTCAGTGTTTTCTTGTCTCCTATCTATGTACTCTACTCTACATGATGTACCATTTGTAAGCCCATCCTCAACAGATAAGTTTGCAGTTATTTCATACTGGAGACCAAGTGCTATGGGAACATTTTTAGCCAATCCAGCTGTTTTAGAGGAGTCATCTGGCAAATTTAAGTGCTGTATTAAATTTTCCCTTCCTACTACAGAATCATGAGCTGGTATATTGACCTTTTCACCTTGAGCCAATAGAAACACTTGGTTGTTGTAAGCATTCACACTTTCATTTCTGGTATACAATCGTGGAACATTTCTAAAACATTCTGATTGTGATTCATCTACACAGTGCTGCTTCAACGTCTGTATATCAGCTTCAGATTGATTTCCTTCTCGTAAACGGTTAAGTAACTCAGCAAACTGAACATCATCTTTCTGTCTCATTATTTCTGTAAGCTCATGCATTGTGAACAATTCCCGCCATAAGTTTATTGCCAATGGTCCAAAGTTTTTCTTCAAGTCATCGAAAACCCATCCATCCATTACTGGCTTTAACTGGAAAAGATCTCCTATCAAAATTACATTGATACCTCCAAAATATTCCTTGCTCCCTTTTATCTGCTTCAGACGCTCATGTACGCAATTTAACTGAGAATTTCCGACCATTGAAACTTCATCAATGATGACCGTTGACAAATATTTGTACTTTGTCCTAAGTGTGTTCAAAGATTCACTATCAAGAGGCTTGCAGTTAAACCCCTGACTTGCTGGAATTTTGAATGCTGAATGTATTGTCTGTCCTTTTATATTAAATGCAGCTTTTCCAGTTGGAGCACAAAGTAGAACCTTGCAGTCATCTGGATTTTCACCTTCAGTAGAGCAATAGTGTCTTGTGAGTGCCTCATACAAAGCTCTTACAACAACAGACTTTCCAACTCCTGCACCACCAGTAAGGAAAACTCTAAGTGGTTCTTTTTTGGTTTTAATCCAATGAAGCACATGAGTAAAGAAGTCCATTTGCTTTTTGTTTAACTTGCTAACTAACTGAAAATACAACTCATTGGTCATTTTGTACTGAAGAGTTTGATCATCATTAGTAGAACAACTAGGTAATCCAAGATCTACTCCAATGTCATAGTTCTGGTGATTTTCTGGACGCTTTGGGTCAAAATACACAAATGCCTCACTTTCCCTACTTCCTTCTTCCAAGTCTTCTTGTTCAGTTTGCTCTGCACTAGGTGCAACTCTATCAAATTGTACATCAGCCTCTTCAGCTTGCCTCTGTGCCTCTTCCAACTCCCCTGCATTGCGTTCATACTTCTTTACTTTAGCACCGATAAAACTCTTCAGTTGGTTGTATTTTTCTTCATATGTTGATTTGTTTCCTTTTATGTCTATTTCTTCCTTTCTCCACGGATGGAAAAGCAAAATCCTTTCTCTATAATGATTTTCAGAATCAACTTTGATGGAATAGTTGACATAACGAATGCATTTAGCCTTCCTCCTTTGCCTTATGATGATGCCATTTTTTAAAACTATCCTAATCAGCTCTGAATTGATCTCTTCATCTTCCAATTCTCTGAATTCTTGTTCATCTTCAGAATCATCATTTTGCTCTAGAAGCTCATCACTTTCTTTGAATTCTTTTGGATATACAATTTCTAGTTCTGCTGCATAGTCTGCTAAACACCAGTTTTCAAGTTGCCTTGGTCTTTGAGAATAACGCTTGATCACACTGCTTGCATGAATGTCTGTGGAATTCTCTGGTAATTCTTCTAAAGCAGACTTACATTTCAATAGAAGAGTTCTTTCTTCTGGTGGTGATGTATTTATAAATACAACATCTCTTGAACTTTTTGTTAAGGGCAATTGTAAATTCAAGTATGACGCTTCTTGTGCACTTATCTCAACTGCATTCAAGAACTTGTTTCCCATGTGTCGAACCTGTTTTTTCAAATCCATATTTCCTTCTCTTGCTTCCTTACATGCTTGATCAAGCAGATTACTCATTCCACGTTGAGACTTGCTAATGTAGGACACTATGTACATGGCACATGCATATGGGTCCAACACAAACTGCAAATCATGATTAGCTCGCCATGCTGTTAAAACATTTTTCATATAAGGATTAACTCTTATTTCACTAGGGGTTCTCTTCAGAAAAAGCTGTGGTCCATCAAGGGAACTCCTGACTGACTTTATGTAATCTTCTTTCTCCAGGTTCAGTGAATGTAGAAATTCATTGAAAGAAATACTTTTCCCTTCTTTCATATCTGCTAATTCTTTCTTAACCTTTGCAAAAATTTCTTTGTATCTCATTGAATCTGGATCATCTGCTGTTAAAGGTTCTAAAATCAAAGTTGAATCCATAGGAGGCTGAGGAAATCCAAATCGACAAATGTCTTTTCCTTTTTTCCTACATGTTCTGGAATGTTTGTGAATTTGTAAATCTACAAATTCTCTATCGTCATCATCACAGTTTGCAGAGCAAGACACATACTTGTCTATAAATTGTGCAATTTCAGACACTGGATCTTCTTTAAATTTTGGAGCATGTTTTATCCACATGAGCATATGAATGTGAGGTGATCCTCTATGCTGAAATTCAACACGATAAAAAAAATCTATCAGTTCCCCGACAGGTTGATCCTCATTCTTCAAAACAGTATTAATAAACACATGTACTCTATGATCAAAAAAGCGAACACATGTTACCGGATCTTTTTGCACCAAGTCAGTTTTTTCAGCCCATGTCATATTGTCTATTTCCTCATCAGTTAGTGATTTCTTGAGATTGAGTTGAGCAAGAGTTTTGAGTAACTCAGACCATCTTGTATCTGCTGCTGATAAAGATGCAAACCATGTTGGTAATCCCAATTGTCTAATCATTGCAAACAACTCTTTCTTTTTGGCCTCAAGATATGGAGGACTGTTCCGTAAAGTTCTAAAAATGTAATATCCCTCATCTAATCTTGTTATCTTGTCAAGTATTTCCTGATTGAGAACATCACCAGCTGTTAATTTCTTCTCTGTGCCCTTGCATCTTCTTAATACAAGATTGACTTTGTCTGATATTTGCTTCATTTGAATTTTCTTCATTTTGAAAAATAAATTTGGCACACTGTTTGCTGCACGTCTGTCAATATTTCTTAGTTCCCATTTCACAAGATCACTGTAATGAACTTTAACTTCACGATCATCATTTGATGCCATCCTCTGACCACAGTAAATGGTTGGAAAAGACAAGAATTCTGCATCCTTATCAGTGTACAAACTCAATGGGGTTTGACCTTCTCCTGGAGCAAACGTATACACCTGATCTTGCACAGGATTTGCATCATCCAATAATGTGTCACAACTGCCAGAATTCCCCTCTCTTTCATCAAGTTCTTCAAAATGACTCTCTTCTAACCTGTCTGATGTGCCATCAAGGTTTGTATTCCTTGCTTCAGTACACCCAGAAGTACTTGTGTTAAAATATTCTGAAATAATTTCACTGCTATCTGCATTTATTCTGGCTTCCCATTCATCATCTAAATGAATATTTGCATCTTTGTACATTTGGCTATTTCTCATCAACCAGTGTAATGCAATGATTACATGCTGTGGTCTCACATTTTCCACAAAATCACAAGTTTTGTAACTTAGTCTCTTCTTTAAGCGGACTGGCACTGTAATATCATTGTTAAACTGTCTTGGCAAAGAGTTTACAGTTGGTTGGATATCTACTGGAACATTAACAACATTTCCTTTGATAGATAACTGTCTTCCTCTAGGCAACTCTCTTAGCTGCATAAATGGAATCCGTAAAGCTATGAGGCGTTCTTCTAACTGATGAAGTTCAAGTTCTTCAGGTTTGGTAGGAAATTGTACATGGTTTGCTATTGACAACTTTGGCATTTTCTTTTCTTGTATTGATTTCTTACATGTTAAACATATCCATTCTTTTCCTCCAATTGAAACATAGTTGGTGAGAAATTTTGCAACATCTTCAGGAGGTAAATTTTTTCTAAGAAAGTTGCTATCAACAACTGAATGAGAAAACCAGGTCTGGTGACAGCATGTACATACATATAATGGTCCTTCTTCTATTCTTTTGTTAAATGCTGATATTGCATTTGTAAGTGATGTTCCATTCTTTCTGCATTTTCTTGCAATATTTTCCTTCCTACAAAACTGAGGATCTTTTCTTTTTTGGGCTTTAGCACTCTTTTCTCTAGACTGTTCATTCTCACGATAGTCAATATTGTTTCTCTTCACAGATTTTCTTATGCGTTCCATTTCAAGAAATGCAGAATCTTCCCTACACTTCCTTTTTCTTCTGACATCTCTGTCATGTTCATTATTCATTATGTCTATATTTGCTCTTTGTTTTTGCTTAGCATTTCTCTCTCTTTCTTTCTCAGAAAGTCTAAATATTGGGTCATTTCTCTTTCTTTTCTTTGTGATTTTGTCCCTTTCTTTCTCAATGCATCTCATTTCTTTGTTTAATCGTTTAACCTGTTTTGTTGCTCTTTCCCTCCCTTTCTCAGTGTTTCTTGACTCTTTGTCTAGCCGTTTTGCTTGCCTTGCTGTTTTGTCCCTTTCTTTCTCAATGTTTCTTGACTCTTTGTCTAGCCGTTTTGCTTGCCTTGCTGTTTTGTCCCTTTCTTTCTCAATGTTTCTTGACTCTTTGTCTAACCGTTTGGCCTGTCTTGCTATTTTGTCCCTTTCTTTCTCAATGTTTCTTGACTCTTTGTCTAACCGTTTGGCTTTTCTTGCATTTTTGTCCCTTTCTTTCTCAGTGCATCTCATTTCTTTGTCTAATCGTTTTAACCGTTTTGTTGCTCTTTCTCTTCCTTTCTCAATGTTTTGACTAACCGTTTGGCTTGTCTTGCATTTTTGTCCCTTTCTTTCTCAGTGCATCTCATTTCTTTGTCTAATCGTTTTAACTGTTTTGTTGCTCTTTCTCTTCCTTTCTCAATGTTTCTTGACTCTTTGTCTAACCTTTTGGCTTGTCTTGCTGTTTTGTCCCTTTCTTTCTCAATGGTTCTTTTTGTATTGTCTAATCTTTTTTCTTGCTTTGCCAATTTGTCTCTTACTTTCTCAATATTTCTACCATGTTCATTTTTCCTCCAATTTTTCATGTAATTTCTAATGTACTCCTTTCTGGAATATTTGATTTTTCCTTCCTTTTCCTTTCTTTTGACCATATTTTTCAGTCTACATTCTTGATCATCAAAATATCTATCTAGAAGGACATCACCTTTTTCAATTTCTGCTGCTCTATCAGATGAACTTTCCTCTACTATATGTATGTCATCAGTACCTAATTCAATGATATTTACTGGCGTTATTTCAAATTGAGAATTCTGGTTAACAGAGAGAGATAATGCCAACTGCAAACAATGTTGTGCCACACCTTCCAGTGTCTCTACTCCAATCAATGTACTTTTTCCATTAGCATCAAGTAATCCACTCTGATCTCGTGCATGGGAATCAAAAAGAAAGTATTGTTTTCCAACTTTCATCACAGAAAAAGTGTTTCCACCAAAGCAAACAAATGAACATTCTGCCATTTCAAATGACCTTTGCAATGCCTCTAAAATGGACATACCAAACATTTCGACATCATCTCTTAATCTTTCATCATTACCAATTAAACCAACTTGCGATTCAAAAGTTTGCACAGAAAAGCATTTGTCATAAACTTCTATCTCATTTGGTAATTCATTTATCAATAAATATTCATTCTGCACAGTTGAACTTGCTTGCAGATAACCATAAAGTTCATTTCCAGTTGTCAAAATCTTGTCAATGTCTGATGACAACCAAGCATTTTGATTTTTTACCCTTGAAAAAATTATGCTTGATAATGCATTAGCCACACATTGTTTACCACTTGTAATTCCAAATAATTCTGTACAACCTTGATGAAAGTTTCCTTGCAGAGATGAAAATATTCCAGTGCCAATACTCATACCAAATTGTACCTTTTTTCTCTTTTCTTTCCCATTCTCTAATTGAATATTTCTTTCCTGTTGGCATGATTCCTGGCTTCTGTTATTTTGAAATTTCTGTTCCATTCTGTTCTCAGACATATCCTCCATTTTGTTCTTCAATGTTTCTATATGGTTCTCATATATATCTATCTGACTTTTGTTCTTCAGTTTTTCTACATTGTTCTCATGAATTTCTTTCTCAGTTTTGTTCTTCAGTTCTTCTATATTGTTCTCATGTAATTCTTTCTCAGTTTTGTTCTTCAATTTTTCTATATTGTTCTCAAGTATTTCTTTCTCATTTTTGTTTTGTATATTTTCCTCATTTTGAATCTTGCACCTTTTCTGATTTGTCCTACTAACTGCATCACCCACTTCTGACAGTGATGGTACACTCGCTGGTGTACAAACGCATCGCGGCGAGTCAGTTAGTGGCGCCTGCCCTGCTTCACACACTGGTGAAGGTACACTCTCTGGTGTACAAACGCACGCTGGCGAGTCAGACATAGCTATGTTACCCCTCTCAGGGATAGGCAGACTTCCTTGAAGAGGTACCAACTTCAAGGCATTTAAAGGATCTGCACCTGAAACAGAATCCTTACCGTCCTTTGAGGGAGTCTCTGCTACCCATCTGCGATGAACTTTATCTCTGGATCTTTGGGATGCTTTTCCCTTTCTTGGCATCTAAGAAATTTATAAACAAATGTGAACGACAACACAAGAGGCCCGTAGGCCACATCGTTCACCTGAGCACTATGGCTATCAATTCAGTAAATTTTTAAGTGATCTCGATCCTAAAAGAGGAGAGGGGGGATTGTTATGATTTGAACAAACTTGCAGGGGCGTACCAACAGGGGTGCCCAGGTCCCCCCCACTTTTTTCCCGTACCTTACTACCTTATTATAGGAAATGTTAATAGAAAGCCTGGTTGCCCCTCTCCACCCCCCCCCCCCCCCCCCACACACTTTGAGTGATGTACCAAAAATGTACTACCGTATAAAAATCAAAGGTATGCTAATAATTTTGGCGTAATTTATTTTAGCGGACACAGAGTTTCAGCTCTTTGCAGATAAACACTTAAAGGAGTACTGACTAAAAACGGGGCTACCATCAAAAGAGATAAGCCAAAATTAGCACTAAAATAACCCGCTATACTGAGAGTAGTTGACACAACACTGTCCATTGTGTCCCCCCCTCATCCCTGGGGGTCATGCTTTGAACAAACTTGAATCTACACTACCTGAGGATACTTCTATATAAATATGATCAACCATGGCTTTGCTGTTCTCAAGAAAGAGTTTTAAACGATTTTTCCTTTATATTCCGATATAAATTGTTGATCGTCCATTTTGGCCCCACCCTACCCCCGGGGTCATGATTTAAACAAACCTGAATATTCACTACCTGAGGATACTTCCATATAAATATGACCAATCATGGCTTTGCTGTTCTCAAGAAGATTTTTAAGGATTTTTCCTATATATTCCTATGCAAAACTTTGATCGTCTATTGTGGCCCCACCCTACCCACGGGGGGTCATGATTTGAAGAAACCTGAATCTACACTACCAAAGAATACTTCAATGTAAGTTTCATATTTCCTGGCCAAGTGGTTTTTTTTAAAGATGCCATAAATTTTTCTGTAATTTTCAATTATCTCCCATTGAAATGGGGTGTGGCCCTTCATTTGAACAAACTTGAATTCCCTTCACACAAGAATACTTTGTGATAAATTTGGTTGAAATCTGTCCAGCGGTTTTTGAGAAGAAGTCGAAAATGTGAAAAGTTACAGACAGCTGGACAGATGGACGCCAGACAAAATGTGATCATGGCTTTGCTGTTCTCAAGAAGATTTTTAAGGATTTTTCCTATATATTCCTATGCAAAACTTTGATCGTCTATTGTGGCCCCACCCTACCCACTCAAATACAGATTTGAAGAAACCTGAATCTTTCTACTCTTCAATGTTTATATTCCTGGCCAAGATGCCATAAATTTTTCTGTAATTTTCAATATATTGAAATGGGGTGTGGCCCTTCATTTGAACAAACTTGAATTCCCTTCACACAAGAATACTTTGTGATAAACATGACTAATCATGTGAAAAGTTGCTGTTCAGATGGACGCCAGACAAAATGTGATCAGAAAAGCTCACTTGAGCCAGGTGAGCTAAAAACTTGTATTGACCTTTGCCCTTTGACAAACTTCATACAGTATTGAAGATATTTTCTCTCTGTATGTTTATACAAGAGGCCCATGGGCCTTATAGGTCACCTGAGCATTATGCAACAACTTTCCAGTGATTGAATTTGATTCATGTTTTAAGTCAGATGCTATGCTATTCACAATTTTGAAAGAGGCACCATTGATCATCATAACAATACACTTAGCAGTTGCTTAGTTTGTTTACTTAATACCAATAGGCAGGGTAGGGGAACAAAAAATGAGTAATCAGTAATATTCAGCAATAATCAGTAATGCCCCTATCACACATGAATGAAAGCCTAGATACACACATTGCACAATTTTTGAAAAGGCACCCTTGCTTTTCAAAAATATTTGATTAATACCAAGGAGAGATTTCAAACAATTCATCCAGTTTCAGTATATAAAAGCCCCTCCCCCTATGGTACCCCTGATTAGGGGCTTGAAATTCACAATTCTTCCAGCGCCCTTGCTCATCATAACTATATTAGTTCATCTGCTCAATACCCAGGAGCAGAGAAGAATACTTTAAAAGATTTAATGTATTTTCACTATATAATCAATCTATTAGAACCCCTGACCCTAGGGCCATAAAATCAAAATGGGAAAGGTATTTTGCTCATCATAACTATGTAATTAATCAATTTCATTCCTAGGAGCAGAAAAGAATTTTTTTCAAAGAATTCATGTATTTTCACTATATAATCTATAGAGCCCCACCTTTACACCAGAAACCCTAACCCTGGGGCCATAAAATTCACAATTTTGGTAGAAGCACTCTTGCTCATCATAACTATGCACTTAGTTAGTTTATTTAATACCCAGGAGCAGAGAAGAAGATTTTCAGAGAATTCATGTATTTTCACTATATAACCTATAGAGCCCCGCCCTAACATGACCTGGGGCCATAAAATTCACACAAGAGGCACTCTTGCTCATCATAACTATGCACTTTGTGTTTATTTAATACCCAGGAGCAGAGAAGAATAGAGCCCCACCCTTACATTTGGGGCCATAAAATTCATAATTTTGGTAGAGGCACTCTTGCTCATCATAACTATGCACTTAGTTAGTTTATTTAATACCCATGAGCAGAGAAGAAGATTTTCAAAGAATTCATGTATTTTCACTATATAATCTATAGAGCCCCACCCCCCTTTACACCAGAACCCCTGACCCTGGGGCCATAAAATTCATAATTTTGGTAAATTTGCTCATCATAATGTACTTAGTTAGTTTATTTAATACCCAGGAGTAGAGAAGAAGATTTTCAAAGAATTCATGTATTTTCACTATATAATCTATAGTGCCCCACCCTAACACCAAAACCCCTGACCCTCGGGCCATAAAATTCATAATTTTGGTAGAGGCACTCTTGCTCATCATAACTATGTACTTAGTTGGTTTATTTAATACCCAGTAGCAGAGAAGAAGATTTTAAAAGAAATAATGCATTTTCACTATATACTTATTTAGCCCCACCCTTGAGCCAGGGGTGAATTTCACAATTTTGGTACTCAATGCTGATTACAATCATGTACAGTTTGACTGCTTGATGTGCCCTTTAAACAAGAAGATTTTTAAAGATTGCATTAATTTTAGTTTTTTTGCC